ATTGTGACACTGAAACAAAACCCCAGTAAGCCAAAGAAAGGCCGGGGAAGAGGGCCCAAGGGGGAGAGGCGGCCCTTCCTGCCCGCTCGGGCGCCTCAGCCGGCCCGGGAGCCTGAATGGGGCTCGTGGTTCTCATCAGGCAAACCCAGCAAATTGGCTTACGGAGAGACACTTGGCTTATCGCACCGCCTGGGCAGACAACTGACACCCCCGAATTGGCTGCCTTTTCTGATCCCCTGCTCTGGCCGTCTGCCACCCCCTGCCCCTCGACCTCCCCCGCCTCCACCCCCAGCCATCTGGACCCGATTTGTACCTCAGACCCTGGCTCTGCGCCTGCCTCGGAGGCATCTGCCCCAGGGCTCCCCCCACAGACCAGCATGGTGAGATGTTCCTCTCGGACCCAATGTGGGTGAGGCTGAGCACGCTCACTCACTCACCTGGAGGAAGCAGGTGCCGGGGAGGGTGTCCTCCTTGAGGGAGACGTTGTAGAAACTGCTCTCGAAGAGGGGCTCGTTGTCATTGACGTCCTGCAGGGCCACCCGGACCAGGGCTGTGGAGGAGAGCGGGGGCATCCCCCGGTCCGTGGCCAGCACCGTCAGCTGGGGATGGGGGTCCACCTCGTAGTCCAGGGCCGAGGCAGTCGTGATGATGCCGGTGGCGGCGTCTATGGTGAACCAGTGCGAGTGGGTCTCCTGGGTGTGCAGGAGGCTGTAGCGGACCTCCCCGTTGGGGCCCTGGTCCTTGTCGCGCGCTGTCACCTGCAGCACAAAGCTCCCAGGGTAGACCACCTCGGGGACGCTCTGCTCATACTCCTGGGTGTCGAACAAAGGGGGGTTGTCATTGACATCGGTCACTCGAAGCACAAAGGCCGACTCGGCCCGCAGCGGGGGCGTCCCAGCATCGGTGGCCGTGACTCGCAGCGCATAGGCGTCCCGCTCCTCCCGGTCCAGCATCTGGTCCACGCAGATCAGGTAGATGATGCTGTCCTTGGTCGTGAGCGCAAACTTGCCCTCGCCACCCTCCAGCGAGACGTTGACGTTGGCGTACTCCCCGTAGTCCGGATCTGAGACGGAGATGCGGGCCACGAACTGCCCCGGCTGGGCGCCCTCCGAGACACGTGGGGAGCCGTCCTCGCTGAGGAAGATGATGGTCATGGTGGGCTGGTTGTCATTGTAGTCCCGCACCTGGATGGTGACGAAGGCTGTGGAGACCTCCGGGTGCAGGGCCCGGTCCCGCGCTTGCACCACCAGCTCGTGCACCTTCCGCAGCTCATAGTCCAGACCCCGATTGAGCCGGATGACCCCTGTGGCGGCGTCGATGGCGAAGTACCGCTCGGGGTCGCTCTGCCTGCGGTTGATCTCGAACACTACGGCGCCATTCTCTCCCTCATCCGCGTCGGAGGCAAAGACCCGCAGGACACTGCTCCCAGGCTGCAGGTTTTCCGGGATCAGGGCCTGGTAGCGGCTTTGGTTGAAAGCTGGGGCGTTATCGTTGACGTCCTCCACCTGCACCTCCAGAGCCATCTGGGAGCTGCGAGGGGGGGACCCACCATCGAAGGCTTCCAGGTGGAGTGAGTAGCGTGCCCGGGTCTCCCGGTCCAAGGCCCCCGCCACCACCAGCTCTGGCTGTAGAGCACCCTCTGGGCCGCGCCGGGTCTCCATCCGGAAGGCCTTGCCGGCTCCTTCGCCTTTGAGCAGATAGCCCTGGGTGCCCAGCGCCCCGCCGTCCGCGTCAAAGGCCGGCTCCAAGGGGAAGTGGCTACCCGGTGGGGTGTTCTCAGGGACTCGCATGGTGGCCCGGGGACGGGGGAAGGCGGGGGCGTGGTCGTTGATGTCCAGCACTTGCACCCGCACCTCTACGGTGGCCCCCTCGGGGGTGACGGCAATGAAGCTGTAGTGGGGGCGGCTCTCGCGGTCCAGCACCCGGGCCGTCTTGATGATGCCCGTGTTCTCGTCGATGTCCAGGTCGGTGGCCACGCCGCTGCCCTCCTGGGCGGAGATGAAGTACATGTAGCTGGCCGTCCCAGGGGGCAACCCCGCGCTGATGTCCCCGATGACCGTCCCCGCCGGCTGCTCCTCATCGATCTGCAGGTCTAGCGTTCCGAGGGCGGCCGGGCCCTGTGCGGGGGCTCCTGGGGGGTGCAGGAGGAGGAGGAGGAGGAGCAGGGGCAG